GGGCGCCACCGAGAAGTCGTTCACCAAGGAGACCTCGGAGGTGTCTGAGTTCGAGTACCAGCAGAAGCGCAGGCGTTTCTCTGTCAAATCTGCTCCCGCTGGCCCTGGGCCCAGCTCCTTGGCATCGGCAGCGCCCCCCCTTGAGTCATCTACGCGGGTGTATTCGTCGGAGCACTGGGTTGTTGGCGGGGATTCGGCGTCGACGCGTTCCGCAGGGACTTTGAGCGCTGAGACTCTGGCTCAGAACTTGGCGAGTTCTCCCAAGGACGGCAACGACGTTGGGGCACAGGGGCAGGCGTCGGACCACGGGAAGCAGTCATCAGCAGGAGGCGGTTCGAAGCCCAAGTTGTTCAACGCGAAGCTGGGGATCAGCATCGACGACCAGACCAGGGAGCGCACCATCCCCTCGGGCCCAGAGGTAGAGGCCATGGAGCCCATCAGCTTCATGGAGGCGAAGCGGCTGTGGGCCGCCATGGCCGCACACGTCGTGAAAGGGTTTTTGGACCCCACCAGCGGCTACGTGAAGCAGCTCAACACTGCCAGCCAGGCGGTGGGCAAGGACAAGGAAGGCGATTTGCACCAGCCCACGTCGGAGTTGGTTGACAAGCTCACGGGCGTGGCAACGGAGCTCGAGACCTATGTCAGCAAGTGCGGGGAGCAGTGCACCAAGGCGGAGTTCGTCAAGCACGTGGTGGTGATGGACGCCAAGATGACCGACCTCGACGGGCAGAGGAAGCACGTGCAGTCGCAGCTCAGCGGGCTCAAGTACTTGCAGGAGAAGTTCGGCCACAACAAATCGATCGCGTACATGGGCCACTACAACAGGCGCGTCAAGATCACCAAGCGTTTGCAGAAGGGGGGCTTTGGAAAGGAATACGCCGACGCCATGAGTCGGGCTCTGTACGCAGCGACTGGCGACGAACAGCGAGCTTCTCTGACCGAGGCTGGAAAAGGCTCGTCCAAAGGCAAGACTAGAAAGGTGCTTCCCTTCCGAGGTGACGTCGAGGTGGACTTGGAGTTCAACGGCGACAAGGTCGCCATGTGGAAGGACCCTGAGACAGCGACGCTCGGGGTGATCAAGGACTTCATCGATAAGAACAATGAGGCGATCACGAGCAAGCTCAAAGTCCACCAGGAGCAGTTTGATGAGAACGGCGCCAAGTGGATCGGCTGTTGCGGGCGCCTGGGCTCCAGCGTCACGAAGGTGGACTTCGGCCAGGTGGGCTCGGAGGTCTACGACCTCCTCGAGGGGGGGCTGGTGCCGTGGGTCTGCACGGTGAAGCCAGACAGCCCCCGCGTGGGGCCGTCAGCGGTCCCCCTTTCGGGCTACGAGTGCGTGCTGGTGCCATTGACGCCCAACATGGCGTACTTCGTTCACCCCGTGGCGGAAGTGGTAGCCCAGGGGGTCTCGCTCAAAGACATCATGAAATTCTTCGAGACAGAGGAAGGGGCCAAGATCAACCAGGCTAGCTTCATCCTCCAGCCTGAGGTCGGGCAAGCGGCCCACGTTCCGTGCGGGCACGTCGTGCAGGTGCTCTTCTACCCCGTGGAGGCAGCAGCGACCTCCAGCAAGACCTGCAACCTCGGCCACACGTTGTTCATCCCCCTGCTGCGCGGCGGCAGGTTTAAGGCCAGGGTGGCGGTGATGAGGAGGAGATGGTGAGGAGGAGGAGGAGGGGGAGGAAGGAGGAGGATGAGGAGGAGGAGTGAGGAGGAGGGCGAAGATGAGGAGGAGGAGCGATACTGTTTTTTGTTTGCAATGAGCGCCCTCCTCCACCTCCTCCTCCTCCCCCCAACCCTTTGGCCATTATCGTCCTCATCTTGCCGATGCTGCTGCCCTTAATTCCCTCCGCATCCATCTCTCCCCTGCCCTTGTACCGTGAAGCCTCCTGCTCGTGCTCCCTCCAGCTCCACTACTCACTTCTTCACCGCCCTCCCCTTCCCCTCTGGGCGCTTCGTCGCTCCCTCGAGGCCCTGGACGGGGCCGCGGGCACAGCTGTCAAGACGTCCAACATGGACTACATGCGCACAATGAGCAGCGCCATGTACAAGGATCGGCTCAGCTCATTGACGCGCTTCCATAGCGAGTGAGTGGAGGCGCAGGACGCAGGGGCGGGCGGCGCGGCCCTCGACGTGCGTGCTCGTGACATCGGCGCTCGCATGCACTCACGATCACACCCACTTTGAGAGCACCATCGCACGCTCGCACACACAAAGGTTCACACGCCACTGCGCGCACAATGCCATATTTTTTGGGAGGCCGAGTCGTCGGCGAGCGTCGGACATTTAGATGCTCGGATCTTGGTCCAACGGGGAGTGCTGCTGCCGCAAGTGTGGGGAGAACGGTAGCGAGCTCTCGATCGGTCTCTCGGTGCATGCAGTGCGCCGTGTCCTACTCGTGCCTCCCTATTGTCACGTTTCGTTGGCCACCGTCGTCGGCGTCGCCATTGCTATCGAGACATGCTCGTGGCATCGCAGTCTGCCCATTCAAGTCGCCGTCGCCATAGTCAGCCATTCCACCGAGATGATGCTAGTCACGATCGCCGTCGCCATCGCAGTCGCTTGCGTCACCGTCGCAAGCACGAGCGCGCGAGCAGGGGGGATGAGAAGGATGTGGAGGAACATGATGAAGGGGAGGAGGGGGGGGAGGAGGGGGAGGAGGAGGAGGAGGGGGAGGAGGAGGAGGAGGAGGAGGAGGCCTGGTCAGACTGCGTTCACCATTCATCTCTCACGTGCTACCTGGCATTGTATTCAGCCCTGGGGTCTTCGAATGCTAGCCCTGCCTTCCGCCGCCCCCACCCAAGGACCTGGCCTTCTTGGATGCTCGCCCCAGGTCTGGTTTATGTATTTGTTTCGCGGGCCCTGCGGGGGCCCAATGCAATCCTACCGCGCGCTAGCTCAAGGTGGCCCCCCCCCTCCATGGGTGAGCCCGTGCTAGCATTTTTCTGGTGCCCCCCCATTCAATGTGCCAGAGCACCCCTCCCCGTCATCATCATGGCAACTGTCCTCATGCCCCCCTCCACCCCCGCCCTTTTCATCATCCTGCCTGTCCTCATTTTTTGTTGCGATTGGCGCGCGGCCGTCGGCCACCAACTCGTCAATAACTTACCCGCCTACGCTAGCACCCAACGTCAACAATATATAGATGAGACCACGCTGTGGCTTATCTACATGAGCTTCGTGCTCAAGCCATCGGCCTTGCTCGCCGAACACCCGCGCACTCCGCGCAATCATGTGAACCCGCACCAACTGGGCACGACCCATACGCCATGAGCAATGCACTTGGGTACCCAACGCACTGCTATGCACCACGCGCCCTGAGCCCACCTCTACACGCCCTGACCCATCACCCTTTGCACAAGTGGGCGCGCGAAGGACCCTGCGCGGAAATGCGTTAAAGCATTGCTTCGCGAGGCAGCTCGAAAGCCATCCGCGCGCAGACGACTGCGCATTGACTCGTAATGCCTGCGCAACTCGCGCGGCACATCAAGATACGGGCGCGGGCCGCCATCGCGCGATATCATGCGATGCAGTTTGGCACACCCACGCTTCGCATTTCATTGGGCTCGGAACGTGCGAACGCTGACGCATGCCAAGGCGCGCTCGCGAGCTCGTGGCGCACTTTCAGTGCCGCGGGACGGCACGCCCGAAACCATTGATCGACGCTAGCCCGTGATCCAGATGCCGACCTTGAATACCGATCGTGATGGCGCATCGATTCGCCGTGCCTTTGCGGCCGCGACGACTAGGATCCCTTTCCCCAAACTGCACCAACCAATATGCACAGTTCGTTGCACGCTGTGGGACAACCTACCAAAAACCACCGCTATTAAGGGAGGACGAAAACTTAAACCACCACATATAACCTTGAGGCTAGGCCCTTGGGCCGCGGGCAACCTTGCGCTTTCGCCTTTGGGCCAGATATTACCTTATTCAAGGAATGCCCCACGACAGTGTCTAGCCAGTCCCAGGATTCCTCGGGCCCCCCCCCCCAGATGGTATGGTCCCAGAGACGACGACGACGACGACGACGGCGACGACTACGACGACGGCGACGACGACGACGACCACGACGACGACGACGGCTGCGGCGGCGACGACGCGGGGGGCGGCGGCGGCGACGACGACGATGACGACGATGACGACGGCGACGACGACGATGACGACGACGACGACGACGAGGACGACGAGGACGACGAGGACGACGACGACGACAACGACGACGACGACGACGACGACGATCTCTGAACCACCACAGCACCACACCACATCAACAGGGGGAGGGGGAGGGGGCACCGCAGCGCAGCACCACGCCACGCCCACCTCTGAACCACCACAGCACCACACCACATCCACAGGGGGGGGAGGGGGGCACCGCAGCGCAGCACCACGCCACGCCCACAGGGGGGGGCGGGGGGGACCATCGCGCGGGGGGGGGGGGGGGGGGGTGGGGGGGCCCAATGGCATCAGCATTGGGGGGGGGGGGGCCAAGCCCTGGACCATACATACCTGGCATCGCTCGGACGTGTGTATTCGTGTCTCGGCGAGGACCCTTGAGGAACATCAGGGACCATCGAGCGAAAAAAACACGCACGAAGCCGAAACATGCACGGGACATGGACGTCCGAGCGACGACAAGTGTGTGTATATATATATATATATATATATCTATATATATATATATATATATATATACATCGGGGAGCCCCATTCGCGGCCGAGCCGAGGCCCGCCGCGGCCAGGAAGGCGCCTCGCTCCCTGGTTGCAATGCGGGCCTGTCCCTCTACCGGAGGAATCTTCAAGAATAGTTTAAGAGTCGTCAGGGGACGACGATTTTGCTTTGTCATGCTTGATTACTTTTTGAATATTTTCGGAGTGCCTTTTTTTTTTTTTTTTTTTTAATTTTTCGTCCAAACTCCACCTGTAGGGGGACACGCCCGACCTAATCCTTGGCCGGCGCTCCCTGTGGCAGCACTGCGGGTGCACCTCCCGCGTGCCAGGCGGGAAGAAAAAGAAGAAGGAGAAGAAAGACAAGGACAGGGCTCATTTCGATTGCATCGATTCGATTCGATTTCGATGAATTCCGATTCCGATTCGATTCGATATCAGATTCCGGTTCGGGATTCGGTCTCTCAATGAAGGTTAATTCGCCTGCGGAGGTCTGTCGTTTCCCCACTCGGTTGTCGATTCCCGTCGATCCGTTGCATGTCGATTTCTTATATCCGACCTGTCGATGCGATTCTGGGCCCTCCCGCAAGGAGAAGGAGAAGAAGGAGAAGAAGGCCTCCCTGGCCGGAGCTCCATGGGGGGGCCGCGGTCTGCCGCCCGTCTTTGCTGTTGCGCGCTCGCCGCGGTCCGGCGCTCTCTGCGCGCACGTCCCCCATGGCGTTTCCCTAGCTTCCGTTCGCCTCCTTCTCCTCCTCCTCCTCTTCCTCCTCTTCCTCCTCGTCCTCCTCCTCCTCCTCCTCCTCCTCCTCCTCACACGCAGACACTTCGCACCACCGAGGGTCTGGTGGCATGCTCCAGCGTCGTAGCAATCTGGTCGGCATGCTGCAGTCATCCCCGCCGTCTGGGATCCAGCCAGACGCGACCCATACGAGGACGCACGCCGCGCTTGAGCGTTCGTAATTAGTCCGCGGGTCGATGGCATCTGTACGCAGCATTGGCTGCTTGCAGAAGTGCTTCGCTGAAGATCGTTGTTCTGGATTGCGTGGGGACAGGAGCACACATGGATGTGGGAGCACACGTCGGACGCAAGGCTCTCCCTATCGATATCTCTGTCTCCAGAGGGAATTCTTCTGCATCATCACCAGGGGTGCGAATAGAAATCCCGGTCCGCGCGGCGCGGCCTGGGCCAGAGCGGCTCCCTTTCTCCAAAGGGGGCGGCGCGAGGGTGCGGAGGTAATGGGTCTTGGCATCGCTCGGACGTGTGCATTTTTCCTTCGGCGAGGACCATCGAGAAGCATCTTTGATCAGTTGGCGAAAAAGCCACGCACGAAACTACAAAGGCATAGGAAATGGACGTCCGAGCGATGGCCAGGGGTCGTCGCGCATCCCCAGGGCGCGAGGCGCGACGTTTGCGACGTTTGGCCACCCACATCCTTCTTGGCAGCGGTCGCTGCGGTGGGCTCGCGCGCTCCTCGCTGCCCTCCCGGCGGCCCTTGCGCCGCTCGGGGTGGCGTCGGTGCGGGGCCACGATCGCTCCCGCGGCTGCGGGTGCCCCTCGGCCGCTGGGGAAGCAGGTGTTTTTTCTTGGGATCCCGGGTGCCGACCGAGGGGCCAGAGTGAGGGGGCGGAGGAGGGGGAGGGGGAGGAGGAGGAGGGGGAGGAGGAGGAGGAGGGGGAGGAGGAGGAGGAGGAGGAGGAGAGGGAGTAGGAGGAGGAGAGGAGGAGGCGGAGGAGGAGGCGGAGGAGGAGGAGGAGGAGGAGGAGGAGGAGGAGGCGGAGGAGGAGGAGGAGGAGGGGGAGGAGGACGAGGAGGAGGAGGAGGACGAGGAGGAGGGGGCGGGGGGGTCGCCGGAAGTCTGACGATCGAGGCCCGCCGCAGGCGCCGAGTCTACAACGTACGCAACGGGCCCGCCGCAGGCGCCGATTTTTCCTTCGTCAAGGCAACGAGGGGGGGCTCGCGAAGGATTGGCGGGTGTGTCGCGGGTTGGGTGCTGGAACACATTGGCCGCAGAAGTGCCACGCGAGAGGGCGAATCCTGCGTAGATCGTGAGGAAGTTCCGCGCGAGAGTGCGATTTCGAATAACTTGTAAGGGGGTACCAGGCGGGAGCCTCATAATGCGTTAACGCATTATGATGCTCAATACTTCTACTGGTAAAAATAAGGTGCGAGCCTCGGTAGGGGCACTTCAATTGAAATGGCACGCGGTGCACCGAAGGGGGGAAATCAACAACAGGTATATTTCGGACATGATAATTCGACACACCAGCAACAAGCACACTCCGCCCGACAGAACGCCACTTCAGCCACGCACCCAGGGATGCTGTAAGACCGCTCGGCCCCCTCACCCTGATGAAGACCCACCCAAGCGAGGAAGACGTCGTCTGGCAAGGCCCCAGTGAGATCATAGACAATCACCTACCCAGCTGCAAATCGTCAGACGATGTTTTTGACGGTGAATCACGAACTCCGCAAACAATCTGCACAGCACTTTCCGCTACTCTGTGGCATGCGCACGTCGCCTCCGTGGAAAGACAGTGACATGAAGAGACAGGGTGGCTTGACATGTCGATGCCAATGGTTTCTCGGCAGGGCAAGAAAAAGAAAAAGAAGGATCACATATTCATGCATGCTATCTTTGTGCAGAGGGGCCAGAGAATGGTGTGCGAGGGGCGTGACAGTAGTTCTTCAAGCGCTCGTCCCAACTGCATTTGTTCGCGTTACGCAGAAGTTTTCCAGGCCGTTTGTAGTCCAATCCTTGGCATGTAGAGCAATTCATCGTGGTGTGTTGTGCTGTCCAGCGTGTCAAACTCAGCTCGTGGCTGGTCAACGTCGAGCATTGCGCTTGCACTTAAATCCTGTTGCCGTCGGCTTCGAACTATGGGTCCAGCTTGAAGCCAGTGTGGCTCGAGTTGAAGAGAGTGCTGCAGCTTGGTGTGTGATGGGTCCCAGCTAGCCTTAAATCGGGCCTGTCCCTCTAAAGGGGGAATATTCAAACATAGTCAAAAAATAGTCTAGGGACGATTTTGGGATTATTTTTTAGCATCGTTTGATTTGTTTGTAAGTGTTTTCTCTTGAACTGTTTTGTCCAAAATCCGCCTGTAGGTGGACATGCCCGACCTAAGGCTAGCCCTCCTCGGCCACGACCCCGACCAGAGCCCAGGGAACCAGGCAGAGTGGCCTGACGGCAAGGCCTGAAGCCATTTGGTGGAGCCTTTCACGGTCAGGTGCGCCTGCTCCGCGTGTCGCCGTCGCCGGTTCAGGCCCACCGTGTTCCGACGCGACACGCTGGCCACGTCCCAGTCCCCAAGCATCGTCGTCGTCGTCTTCGTCGTCGTCGTTGTCGTCCACCTCCTCCTCCTCCACCTGCTCCTGCCCCCTCTCCCCCCTCGTTCGCCATCGCCCCCCCCCTTCCTCCCTCCCGTCCCCCTCGTCCCCCCCCTTTTCTCCTTCCCCGCCCCCCTCGTCGTCGCCCCTGTCGATGCCCCCATCCTCGCCGAACTCGTCGTCGTCCGCCAGCGCTCCAAAGTTCTCCGAGCCTCCCGTCTGTGACGAGGCCGAGAGGCACGCCGTCGGGCCTGCACAGAGCGCACCGCGTGCCGCCAGGGGCCGCCGCCACTACGCCCGCCGCTGCCGCCCGACCCTGGCAGGGGCCATCTCTTTGCAGACCTCGGGAGCCTTTGTGCCGGCGGCGAGCGAGGGCGGCAAGGTGCGAGGTTCGAGGGTCGAGGTTCGAGTTCGAGGTTCGAGGTCTTCGGACGTCTGCGTCGGTTCTCGGCGGTGCTCCGGCCTCGGGATGTGGTGCAGCAGCTGCGCCTCGCCGCGGGCGGTCCAAGGGGGGCTCGGATCGTCCCGAACGGCCGCCGGAGGCCCGAGTTGGGACCCGAAAGCAAACTCGGCGGCGAGCGAGGGGGGGGGAGTGATCGAAGGCGGTTCGAGGCTCCAGGTTCGAGGCGATGTTTCGTAGTGTTCGGCCTCTGGGTGCCGAAGGCCGATCCGGGGTGAAAAAACACGTCGGATGGACCCCAGGAGGGATCCAGGAACCGATTTTGACCGATATTCGGCGGCGAGCGAGGGCGGGAAGGGAGGAGGAGAAGGCCTGCTCAGAAGGCGGCGGGACTTCTCGGAAGCCCTCGCTCCTTCTAAAACGTTTCCTTGCGTCTTCGGGGAATGCTTCGGACACTTCTCAGAAGGCCGCGGGCCTTCCGAGCCTTCTGATAAGGTCCGCCCCTTCTCACTCCCCCCCCGGCGCGCCGCCTATTGCAAATCCTTGTAATGCCGCCTTTGGGGTGCATGAGCGTGCGCTAGCTTCTGGTAGTCGATGGGACAGCGCCGATTAAGCGTCGACTTAGCTTCGGGTAGCGTCGATCCGTTGTGGCCAACAAGATGGTATGGGAGTGTCCCACGATTTGCAATCGAACATTTCGATCCGATCGATCCGATTCGATATCAGTTTCGGCCTGCCTGATCCGATTCGATTCCAATGTTCCGTCGATCCGATGCGGCCGGATGTTTGCGTGGCGCTGTTCTGCATCCTGGCACGCCCGTTTCGGTTCGATTCCGGCTCCGTGAGGATGCGGCCCAGTCCGGTTTGCACTCCGATTTGATCCGATTTTCCGATTCGATGTTGATTGATCTCGCCCTAGCACTTGCCGATTAGGGGGGAGGAGGGAGGAGCGAAGAGGCAGGAGGAGGGCGGAGGGCGGAGGACAGAGGGCGCAGGGCGGAGGAGGCAGCGGCAGGGGGGACGAGGAAGGACAAAGGAAGAGGGCACGACGAGGGAGGAGGGAGGGACGAGAAGGAGGGGAAGGGGAGGGCAGAGGGCAGCCCCCCGTCCGCCCCCCCCCGCACTCGGTGAGGAGAGCTCGTCCTCGTCCGGGTCCGGCTCTGGGAGCAGCTCCGGCAGCGCGTCCTCGTCCTCCTCCTCGAAGGCCGCCGCGGCGGCGGCCCCGACCTGCCTCTGGGCCCTCCTCTCCCGAGGTCCAGGCGTCGCATTTCTTTTTCACACCGGGCGTTTCACTCCTCCCTCCTCCTCCTCCTCCTCCTCCTCTTTCTCCTCCTCCTCCTCCTCCTCCTCCTCCTCCTCCTCCTCCTCCTCCTCCTCCTCCTCCCTCCTCCCCCCTCCCCTCCCCTCCCTCCTCCTCCTCCTCCTCCTCCTCCTCCTCCTCCTCCTCCTCCTCCTCCTCCTCCTCCTCCTCCTCCTCCTCCTCCACTCCTCCTCCCCCTCCTCCCCCTCCTCCTCCGGGCCCTGGAGATCGACTGCACGTGAGAGTGACCTTTCGCTGGGGTGACCTCTGGTGCGGGCCCTGCGGGGGCCCCCCGATCGCCGGCCATGCGATGCGACGGTTTCGCCTCGTGCGCGCTTGTTTCTCTGGCCCCCCCTCGCGGCTCCCCCCGGCAGGCGCGCACTGAAGGGTCTCTCCTGCCTGCTTGGGGTCACGCCTGCGTGTAGTGTAGCCGATGGAGATCAGCTTGTATCTCCTGGCGAGGGGGGAGGAGGAGGAGGAGGAGGAGGAGGAGGAGGAGGAGGAGGAAGAAGAAGAAGAAACATAAGCAGAAGAAGAGAAGAAGAGGAGGAGAAAGAGGAGGAGGAGGAGGAGGAGGAGGAGGAGGAGGAGGGAATGCTTGCGATCTGCTCTTATTCCCAGACGGCGGCAGCCGGACGGGCTCGTGACGAGGATGGATCCCTCCATGGAGCGTTCTGGATCGCCCTCAGAGCTTTCCGAGGCGCTTTGAGAGCGTCCCGGGCCGCATCGCCCGAGACATCCTCCAGAGCCGCAGGATCTCAGAGACTCTCGATGTACCTGGCACCAGGATGTATCTTCGCCCTGGCTTCGTTTTAGGCCCTAGGCGGCGCGAATCGTGACGTGACCAGGGGAGAGAGGGCGGGCGTGATCGCAAGCGACGACGAAACGAGCTCTTGAGCCGTCCCTCCCCGAGGTCTGGGCGATGGTTTTTCGCTTCACGTCGAGCAGTTGCGCCTTGTGTCACGCCCTGGGACCACATCGGGATGATCGAAATGGGTACGGGCAAACATGGGCACGAAGATCCACAGCACTTCCTGTCCATGATGAGCAGGACTCGCTGTCCCTGTCGCCGCGGACGTCGCCCTTGGAAAGCAAGAGGTCGCCTACCCAACAGCGGCTGCTGTCGAACTTGGACAATCTGTGCTGTTCTGCACCGTACCCATGCTCTCAGTACTCCAGATGTCGTAATAAAAGGGAGGGGGTCTGGACCCTCCAAGACAAGCCATTTCAGACCCCCCCCCGTGGGAGAACCCTCCAAAACATCGCCCCCAGACCCCCGAGGCCCTCCAAGATAGCCTGGAAGAGACCCCCCCCCGAAATGAGACCCCCCTCCCTTTTATTACGAAATCTGGAGTCCGGCGTGCCACGCCCAGTTTCGGGTCCTGGAACCACCACGGATCGATCCGGCTCGAACGTTGCCGCGGTCGGGCCCGGAGAGTCCCTGCCGTACTGCAGTGGCCTCCGGCCAGTGCCGCCGATCCGGGGCGCTCCTGATGCTGTTGCTGCTGAAATGGCCGATGGCGACGACAACGGGCGACCAACGGTCGACGAGCGGAATGATTACGACGACGACCGACGAAGGAGTTAATGACGACGAACCGACGACGACGACGACGACGACGACGACGACGACGACGACGACGACGACGACGGCTGCCGACGACGACGACGACGACGACGACGACGACGACGACGACGACGACGACTGACGGCAAACGGCTGCCGACGACCGACGACCGACGACTGGTGACGGCGCCGGGTGAAAGGTTCTTCGTTCATCGCTTTCGCTTCCGAGCAATACCAAGTCAGGCCGTGCACCTCGGGCCTGGCAGCACTCGATTGAGCGCATCTTGGGGCCTCTTGGTTCTTGGGGCTTCTTGGGGGCCTTTGGGGCCTCTTGGGGGCCTGTCGGGGTCCTCTTGGGGGTCTCTTGGGGACCTCTTGGGGGCCTCTGGGGGCCTTTGGGGGCGCCTCGGGGGCATCTTGGGGGCTCTTGGGGTCATCTTGGGGTGGGGGACTAGAAGGGTCCGTTCGGAATCACCCTCTTGAGGCCATCTTGGGGGCCTCTCGGGGTCGTCCTGGGGGGCCTCCAGGGCTATATTTGGGCCCTCTTGGACTGTCTTGGCTCCTCTTGGAGGCCTCTTAGGCTGTCTTGGGGCGATCTTGGGGGCCTCTTGGACCGTCTTCGCCACTTCTAAGACGGAAAAGGCGATAATGTTAAAATGCGTGAAAACCTATTAGAAACTTTATTATGGTACCCTCTTGAGGCCCTCTTGGGGGTCCTCTTGGGATCTCCTTGAGGCGTCTATGAGGCCTCTTGGGCCGTCTTCAGGCCATCTTGGGCGTCCAGGAGCGCTCTTGGGCCGTTTCGGGCGCCTCCTGGACCGTCTTGGTGGCCTCCTTGGTCCCTTTTTGGCCTGTCTTGGGGCGGCTTGGGATTTCCGGGGTGGGGGGGGGGAAGAAAGGGTGGACCCCATGAACACCCCCCCTATCCCCCCCCTACCCTTGCAGAGCCCCCCCGGACCCCCCCAGCAGAGCTGAAGATCAGGTTGCAGCTTTCTTAAACTCACACGCCGGATCGGCGGATTTGTTTCGCGACGTTGTTATTTTGTTCGCAACGTCGGATCTCAGGGTTCGAAGAAGACCCATCGGCAGAAGCCTGAACTTCGGCCCTCGCGGACCTCTTGAAGCGGCGCCGGCACCCCCCGGCGGCGCCTCCGGCGCCGCCAGCGCGGGCTGGCCCTGCGCAGACCCAAGACACACGCGCGGACTTCCGAAAGTTAATGTCTGTGCTGAGCTTTCGTCGTCGACTCCTCCGAGAGGGAGGAGGACGAGGAGGAGGAGGAGGAGGAGGAGGAGGAGGAGGAGGATGTGGAGGAGGAGGAGGAGGAGGAGGAGGTGGAGGAGGAGGAGGAGCAGGAGGTGCAGGAGGAGAAGGAGGTGGAGGAGGAGGAGCAGGAGGTGGAGACGGAGGAGGAGGAGATGGAGGAGGAGCAAAGAGTATCAATGACGCGCCGCCGTGGGGGGGGCCGGTCGGCGCGTTGTGCTCTTTTCGCTTCTTTGTCCGAAGGCACGGTGGTGCTCTCCCTCGGCAGTGATGCGCTGATGGGTTCCCCTCGTGGCGGCGTGTCACCGATGCTTGCGATGTTCGCTCCCCCACTCCTTGAGGACTAGGGGATCGACGACAGAATGGCTGTACCCCCAGGTTGAGTTTTCGGTCGAGTCTACGAGGCAACTACGATGAAGGCGGGCCTGTCCCTCTACAGGAGCGATACTCAAAAATTGTCAAAAGATCGTCTGGGGACCATTTGGAGCACCTTTGGCGTATTCTCAATTTGTCGCTCAAAATCTGCCTGTACCGGAACATGTCCAACCTAACATTGATGCTTGCGATGTTCGCTCCCCCTCTCCTTAGACTAGGGGGATCGGCTACAGAATTGCTCTACCCCCAAGTTGAGGTGTCCGTCGACTCTACGGAGCAACTGCGATTAACTCGGTCGTGACCCTCTACAGGAGGAGTATTCAAAAGCAGTCCCTAATAAGTCTGGGGACCATTTGTTGAGCACTGGTTGAGCAGTTCTGGAACATGTTCGGAGTATGTTTAATTGTTCGCCCAAGATCCGCCTGTGGGGGGACATGCCCTACTCGACACTAATACTTACGATGTTCGCTCCCCCGCTCTTGTCCAGTTGGCCCCCCCCCGGTTAACGCAGATTTAAAGCACAGGGCCTCAGCTCTGCCGCGGTCCCCTGAGCTCGCCCTCTTGCGGCGACGTGGATGAGTGATTGGGCCTCCATTTGTGTCGATTGTGCTGGTGGCGCTGCCCTGCTGGTTGTCGTTGTGACGAGCCTCTGCTGTTAATGCAAGGTCGGGGAGCGCGGAGCGCCTATGATGAGCGCCAGGGCGACGGAACTTGCCAGCATGGTGAAGGTTCGGAAGGCCTGATGATTGAATGGCTTCTTTCACTCGGCCGGCCCATCTTGTCGCATCCCTGCCGGTGATATACAGAGTGTTCGTGTGGAGCGCGGAGCCGCAGTGAGGTCGTCCAGGTTGTTGTTGAGGCGTGGCATTTGGAAGGAGGTAGACGGATTAGGATGAGGAAGCGGAGGATGAGGAGAAGGAGGAGGCTTGTCGATGGTTTCTGGGAGACATCGTGGGGTTTCTTGGGAGGCCTGTTTGGAAGGGGTAAACCCCTTTCCGAATGGGAAGAGGGGTTCTTTGGAAGAGGAAAGAAAGACATCGTTGGACCACCTACGCCCAGAGGGCTGGTGGGATTTGGTCGGAGGTTGATCGACCTCCTACCCTGACACGTCGATTAGCGAATTGGCCGTTTTCGGTTCGCGAGAGGGTGTCGCGGCCGTCATTTTTGCGGGTCCGGGTCCGTCGGTTTCGGTCCCAGGCCGTTTTCACTAAAGTGTGGTTTACTAAAGGGAGGTTTGTCCAACGCAGATTTGGCGTCCCTTCTGGCAGTGCCATGACAAAAAAGAAGCACGAGGTCCAGGAACATGGAAAAGAGGCAGCCACCAGCGACGACGGCGACGGCGGCGGGCGAGACAGCGGCGGCGGCGGCGGCGACACGACACAGACGACCGATGGGACACCCGCAGCGGCGCGACGCCCGCGCAGAAGAAGAAAAAGAAGGAGAAAAAGGAGAAGAAGAGGTCGGGGGCGGCTCAACCGGCCCCCAGCAAGCAATCTCCCTCCGTGCTGTCCCCCATCCCCTCACCCTGAGGCGTGTGTGTGTGTGTGTGTGTGTGTGTGTGTGTGTGTGTGGTTGCTTCACCGCCAGCGCAGTTACTCTGCCTAGCCGCCGACGCAAAAAGTGTCTGTGTGTGTGTGTGTGTGGCAGGAGGGACGCTTGGAAGACGAGGGTGACGTGACGGAAGGTGTTGGCCACGGCAGAGTCCGGTGGCAAATCGTGGGGGTTTGGGTGCATTTCCGTCGTGGGAGTACGCGCTGGCGGCGATCAGCGTCTGGTAATAGAAGTGGCATCGCCGATTCTGCGTCGGCTGGCGTCAACTCGCGTCGATCAGCATCGATGAAGCGTGGACCCGCGTCGATCAATGCCGTTCAGCGTCGATCCGCAAGAGCCAGCAGGATGGTATGGGAGGCACCCGCGAGTTGCCACTGAAGTGCAGTCGGCCTTGATTGGTAGCTCGACCGTGGCAAATCGAGGGTACCCCTGTGTCGTGTCTGTCCCGACCTATGCAGCCCGCAGTCCTTTGGTGCTCTGGGGCCATGTCGCCGTCGGAAGAGTCTTGCGTTCGCATGTGTTTTTTCTCCCCGATTCCCCAAAAAATTTTGCCG